CACTTTTTAAAGATGCTTTGGATTTCTTTTTAATAAATGAATATGGTCACAAACACAAAATGGTAACACAAAAATTCAAATCTCTTCGGTAAAAAAGAAATGTTCCCACTTTAGATGTACAAGCTGATTCAAGCATGTATTTAAAAAAAAAAATCCTGAGGCTAGACACATGGCTACAGAGAACCACCTGAAAAACAAAAGATATTCCATGGTGTTTCACTGATAATACTAACTATAAATCCATAAAACATATATACTCTATGCTCAGAGCTGTGTAAAGGAAGTCAGTTTCTGGGCATATGAGATACATTAAATGCTAATATTTAAAATATGTTTATAAAGAGTTTAAAAGTAATTCTTAAAAATTGGTTTCACATGTAATAAATGGAAACTATACCTTTAGCAGGCCTTGTACAAAGAGCCCTGACTCATATTTAAATGATGATTCTGCTTCACATAATCTGGAGCATTTTCTCTCTGCTGGAGTCAGAAAAAGGCATAAGGTTCTCACTATCTACAAAAGAAAAGATTTTAGCATTAAAATATGAAGTAAAAAGACCACTGATTTGCTTATGAAAGAAATTTGAATAGAAATTTTGATTGTTATTGTCAATAAAATACATCCTAAGAAATAAGTATTCCTTAGTCACCTGGAATAACAGTCCATGGGATTTAGCAGTTGTTGCTTAAAACAGGTATTCTGTGGTCAAATAAATTTAGGAAATGCTTGGTAAATTCACATATGGTATCTCAAATCTTTAATGTTTGTATATGTATGGTGACTCTTCAGTTGAATGATATAACATGCAGACATTCTCAAACTTATTTGACCATGGAACCCGTATTTGACCAGGGAAATAATGACCCAATATAATCACTGATTGTATCTCTACCCAGCAGTAACTGTTTTTCAAACAAGCAAATAATTTTGGACAGGAAAACTAAATGCATTTAAATTAGGCTTAAATTAGGCAGAATAATGGTTTCTGTGTAATAGTATACATGTGAAATTGATTGTAAGAAATAATAAAGAGTGTCAAAATCCTTCAATAGCATTAATTCTATCAAATTTGACTTAAAATAAACAGGTCATTGCTTGGGGTTTAGAAATCTCTGATTCAAACAGGACTTGATCTACAACTCAATTAGGAAAAATAAAAAGCCATGCAACTATGTTCAAATTCAGACTGCGTCCAGAGTTGTTATGTTAAAGCAGTGGTTTTCGACTGAGAGCAGTGGCAACTTTTTTCTCAAATTAAAAAGATAAAAGGGAAGCTGTTCTGCCTAAAGAGGTTGGAGGATGAGAAAATATTTAAAAAACACAGCCCCAACGATGGAGACTTTCTTCCTCCATAAAGCAGACTGAGAAGTGCCTTTGTGGAACCCTAAGGCTCTGGTCGTCTCAGATGGAAATCAACCTTTTCGGGATAACAGAAATAATAACTAAGATCACCAGTCCCTAGGTGCAACTAATCTTGCATAAATGGTTATATGAGCAATAATTTTTTTTTTTTT